TGGTTTTATTTGAATTCTGTTACAGGATAAGAGTGTCAGTGGGCCAGCATTTATTGCCCAGAGGGCAGTTAAGAGGCCAGTTAAGGACAGCTGACATCCTTCCTTCAAAAAGTGAACCAGGTGGGTTTTTACAGCAATTGACATTGGTCACATGGTTGCAATTAGGCCAGCTTTTTTGGCCTAAGTTTCTGAAAGCTTTCCAGCACTGAGGTTTTCCTGATCTCACAGCTGGGTCTGATTTGGACTAACTGACAGCAATCGGTCACTTTGTTGTCTTGTGGTACAACCGGGATTTTACAGCAAGACACATTTAAATGGATGTTGGAATTCTTGTTCATCCATTATTCTTGAGAGATTTAAAAGCAAATCGAACTATAATCGACAGAAAAATGACAATCCAATTACATCCTGCACTTGAGCAAAAGATTACTTCCCACATTGCCTCCTACAATGACCCAATAAGTGTCAGTATGCAATCCAACACTAAATCACACAATCCAAAGGATCCCCTATTAAATTCCCCAATGAATGGAAGTGGTAAATTTTAACATGGGAATTACTGAGCTAAGGAAGGAGTTGTAAGGATAGGGGCAGCAGGGGGTAGAATTTGGCTGTTGTTCAGTGATTTATTTTTTAATCTTTATTCTAAAACCAAAGGTTATAGTTTATGGATATGGGTTAGGCCATTTAGGACTGAGATAAGGAGAAATTTCTTCACCCAGACAGTGGTGAGCCTGTGGAATTATCTGTCACAGAAAGCAGTCGAGGCCAAAACATTGAATGTTTTTGAGGAAGGGTTAGATATAGCCCTTAGACCTAAGGGGTTAGTGAAGAAAGCAGGAGCAGAGTATGGATTTGGATAATCAGTTATGATCATACTGAATGGCAGAGCAGGCTAGAAGGGCTGAATGGCCTACTCCTGCTCCTTTTTTTAAAAAAAAGTTTCTATTCTTTCTCGAGTTTTGTATATATTTGGAGAGGCTAGCTAGGCCATTCCAAAGGTCAGTTAGAGAGTCCATGTATGGCTTTGGGTCTGGAGTCCAGCAGGGTAAAGACAGTAGATTTCCTGTCCTAAAGGACCTTAATTCTTACAACGTTCCACAATTTTATGAATTGAATTTACATTCCACCTGCTGTGGTAGTGGGATTCAAACCCTTATTTCCAAGAACATTAATCGGGCCTTCTAGAATACTAGACCAGTGACATTACCATGACACCACCGCATCCTTTATGCATACAGGAGATGACATTGGGACTGGACAATTATTTCCACCTACTCTGTCTATGCCCTCAATTTTATCCCCTTCAATCATGTCCCTTCTCAACCTCCTCTGTTCTAAGGCAAACAACCCTAGTCCATCTAATGATTGGCAAGCAGCCACATTTGCTTTCCTCTGCCCGATTGGTTAGCAGACGTAGGAAACTAAAGTAAATCTATTGTGCTTCAACCAAGGTGAGGTGAGAGGGGGCACCACAAGTCATCTTTTGCATCTAGATTCCATCAATAAACAGAACATAAAGCGCGAGAGAATCCAACCACACCGTTACGGCGATCTGCTGAGAGGATGGAAATTTGCCAGGATATACTTAAATGGAGTAAGCAATTCAATCCAAACTCCTGGAAAAACAGCACTCCTGAGAATCTGAATAGTCTGCACTAACTTCAACCAGAGCAGATAAACAAACACCAGATGGTTCCTCCCCACCCACACAGAAACATCACTCCGGTTGATAACATGTTCATTAGGAATTCATCACTCCCTGCCCCCAGCAAAGCCTTGGATTTTGCGCACACACACGCATACACACACACAAAAATTATATCATTAGCCTTTTTCACGAATGAGTAATTATTTCACAACTTAGCTTCAACACACACATGAACATTTATCTAAAATCTGCTCCAATGCGTGGGGACAGTTTTCTTAAACATTGACTCAGGAACAAGAAATGCGATTGCTCAAAATCTCTCCTCCTGGTTTAATTTTATATTCAGCCCATCATTACAACAGATTATACTTGGCTTTAACTGATCCTCCCAGTCAGTAGTCTGGTTCCATTTCTTATCTCAAAAGAGACGTTGAAGGCTAGTCAGTGCAAAGGGCAGTGGAGTGTCAAATTTGGGTTTTATTCCAAACCAGGAACCCTCCATGCATCAAAATGGAAAGAGGGGAAACTCAGTGCAGGATGTCGTCTGTTACACATAGCACTCCCCTTTATTGCGCAGTGTCAGGTTTAGAACTGCAGTACAGAATGTTACCAGTCTATCCTTAGGCCTTTGAGTGCGTTTGGGACAGTTGGGACCAGACAGGAAAAAGGGAATAATGATTCCAAGTCATCCCAACACAGAAAAAAAAAAAATCAATACAAGGACTTAGTACCTCATATATCCATTTATCTAGGTCAGGGTCATAGTCATACAGCACAGAAACAGACTATCTCAGCCATGCCAACCAGATAATCTAAACTGATCTAGTCCCATTTGCCAACCATTTGGCTCATATCCATCTAAACCCTTCATATCCATGTATCCATCCACATGCCTTTTAAATGTTGCAATTGTACCCTCCTCCATCACTTCCTCTGGCAGCTCATTCCATATACGCACTATCCTGTGTGAAAAAGTTGCCCCTCGGTCCCTTTTAAGTCTTTTCCCCTCTCACCTTAAACCTAGTTTTGGACTCCCCCCAACCCTTGGAAAAGACCTAGGCTACCAAACTTATCCATGCCCCTCACGATTTTACAAACCTCTATAATGTCACCCCTCAGCCTCTGATGCTCCAGGGAAAATAGCTGCAGTCTTTCAGCCTCTCCCTATAGCTCAAACCCTCCAATCCTAGAATCATTCTTGCCAATCTTTTCTGAATCCTTTCAAGTTTCACATCTTTCCTATAGCAGGGAAATCAGAACTGAACACAGTATTCCAAAAGTGGCCTAACCAACGTCCTGTACAGCCACAACGTGACATTCCGACTCCTAAATTCAATGCACTGACCAATAAAAACAAGCATACAAATTGCCTTCCTCACTATCCCATCTACCTGCAACTCCGCTTCTAAAGGAACTGTGAATCTACACTCCAGGTCTCTTTGAAAGGAACAGCACTTTAATGAGCCCACACAATGTCAGCTGTTCTTATTTTATTATTGGTTCATGGGTGTGTGTCATTACTTATTGCCCAGACCTAAATTCCCAGAGGGTAGTCAAGAGTTAGCATTAATTTGGTCTTCAGTCACACATTGGCTAGATCAGGTAAGGGGAATAGATTTCCTTTCATAAAAAGGACAGCAATGTCCCAGGTGGGTTTTGACAAAAATCAGCAGTAGCTAGCTTTTTACTTTAGTGAATTTAAATTTCATTATCTGCCTCAGTGGGATATGAACCCATGGCTGAAGAAAGTTCGCATCAGTTCTGGACTACGAGAGTAGTGACATAACCACTACACCAAATGTAAAGCTGGAAACCCATTGATGGCAATAACAACTGCTGCAGAATACAGCAGCTGACTCCATACTGTGAGGTGCAAGGAAAACAGAGGGAGAAAGAAAAGCCTGACGTTAGTGGTGGGTAAGCTGTTGGAGGGGATTCTGTGGGACAGGACATACGTGCATTTGAAAAGACAAGGACTGATTAGGGATAGTTTTATGCAATGCAAATGATGTCTCACTAACTTGTTTGAGTTTTTTGAAGAAGTGACCAAGAAGAATAATGAAGGCGGAGCAGTAGACATGAAGGGTATAAACCCAAAACGTCGACTTTCCTGCTCCTCTGATGCTGCCTGACCTGTGTTCCTCCAGCTCCACACTGTATTGTCTATAAGGACTTTAGTAAAGCCTTTGACAAGGTTCCACATAGCAGACTAATTAGTAAACTTAGATCACATGGGATTCAGTGAGGGCTTGTCAATTGGATACAAAATTGGCTTGATGGTAGGAGACAAGAGTGGTTGTGGAGGGTTGCTTTTTGGTGTGCAGAATCGTGATCAGCAGTGTACCACAAGGATCAGTTCGGGGTTCATTACTTTTCATCATTTATAGAAATGATTTGGGCGTGAATATAAGAGGTATGGTTAACAAGTTGTCAGATGACACCAAAATTGGTGGTGTAGTGGACAGTGAAGTTTACCTCAGTACAACAGGACCTTGATCAGATAGGCTGAGTGGTGGCAGATGGAGATTAATTTAGATAAATATAAGGCAAACTAGGGCAGGGCTTATGCACTTAAATGGCAGGGCCCTGGGGAGTGTTGCCGAACAAAGAGATCTAGGGGTGCAGGTATATAGTTCCTTGAAAGTGGAGCTGCAGATAGACAGGCTGGTGAAGGCTGTGTTTGGCATGCTTGCCTTCATTAGTTTAATGCACTGAGTATAGGAGCTGGGACGTCATTTTGCAGCTGTACAGGACACGGATGAGGACACTTTCAGTATACTGCGTTAAGCTCTGGTCTCCCTGCAAGAGAAAAAAATGTTGTGAAACTTGCAAGGGCTCAGAAAATATTTACAAGCCCATTGCCTGGATTGGAGGGTTTGAGCTATAGGGAGAGGCTGAATAGGCTGGGGCTTTTTTGACCTGGAGCGTCAAATGTTGAGGGGTGACCTTATAGAGGTTTATAAAATCATGAGGGACATGGACAGGTTGAATAGCCAGAGGTCATTCCCCCAGGGTGGGGGTGTCCAAAACTAGGGGGTATAGGTTTAAAAGTGAGAGGAGATTTAAAAGTGACCCAAGAGGCAACTTTTCCACGCAGACAATGGTGAATGTATGGAACGAGCCGCCAGAGATGGTGGTGGAGGTTGATACAATTACAACATTTAAAAGACATCTGGACGGACACATGAGGAGGATTTAGAGGGACATTTAGCCCATGGGACTAGATCAGTTTAGGATTTCCGGCTGGTGCAGACAAGTTGGACCGAAGGATCTGTTTCCATGCTGTATGACTATAATTCTATATCTAGCACAATGGAAGGCTACACAGACAGCAATTTTAACAATACTTTTAACCACATACCTTTGCAACTCCAATGTGATCTTTCTTAAAAATTTCCAACGGCTTAATGAGCATGTTACTGGAATTCTGAATCTGTAACAAAGTGCAAGTGGCAAATAAGTTCAGAGTTCACTATCTTTTTTTAAGTCTTATTCTGAAGATCAAGCAAACAGATCTCCGCCGAGAAGTAATGCAGAAAAGAAAATTAACACATTGATAAAAACCTAAAATAGTCAGAATAGAGGAATAATACTTTGACAAAACAATAAAAGTCTTAAAAAAAGGAAAGAACAGGAATGGACATGTTTAAAGTACTCTCCAACCAATCACATTGATTGCCACTGAATGCTTCCACACTGTTTGGATCTCAGCTGTGAATTATTTAAAAGAAAATTTCTTTTCATTTCACGTTACCTGCATTCATGTTCTTTTCCTTAAAATGATGAAAACTGAAAATTTGGCTTCACTTTTCAGGCAAAGCATCTGCCTGACTGTCCTCTGCTTCACTGACAAGCTGCTCCACAGATACAAGTTACTAGGCTGGTGAATGAATCCTCTAGGAACATGTTATAGATTCCAACAATGCAGCTCTGGAACCTTATCCAGAACAGTCACAAAGCAGGAGAAAATAACTACCAGTGGTACGTGAAGCAATGACTAGGTGGTAAGGGAAAAGACGGGGTAATATTGCAGAGATAGTAGGAATTGCAGATGCTGGAGAATCTGAGATAACAAGGTGTAGAGCTGGATGAACACAGCAGGCCCAAAACGTCAGCCTTCCTGCTCCTCTGATGCTGCTTGGCCTGCTGTGTTCATCCAGCTCTACACCTTGTTATGTCGGGTAACATTGCAGTACAAGTTGTCTTGGTTAGAAAGAGAGGTTTAAAACATAATAAAAGAAGGAGGATGATCAGCCGGTGCTATGAAGTCTTGTGGGCAAACATCAGAGCGTGATGAAACAGATCCATCATCTTCCATGTGCTACTGTCATTCCACAACCATTTATCAGTTACAGAGCAGCTATGGTTAAAGAAATAAAAGCTTTAAAATTAAAAACAAGAGAAAAGAATTAGTAAACAGGTCCATGAATTGCTAAAATACTACAATTAATACTATAAATTAATTTCCTCAATGGAAAGCTGTGATCAGAAAAATAATTCACATCCAGTACCTTGTATGGTGTTTCATGGACAGAACCACAGGATCTGTTTCCATGGCTGTACAACTCTTCGGCCAAAGGTATCCATCCCGACTGGGTTTCTCAAACTAAACTAGTCCCATTTGCCTGCACTTGGCTAATATCCCTCAAAACCCTTCCTATTCGTATACCTGTTCAAGTGTCTTTAAAATGTTGTAACTGTACCTGCAGCTCCCACTTCCTCTTGTTGATTGGTAATTTCACAACGATGGGCAGATTCTAATTTCCACAACATCTCTCCTTCCATAATATTAGAGACTGTCACAATGAGATCAGCTTGTTGACCACTACACCATACTTTGAGACATGGGGACCAGTGCTCTTGCTTCCCCTATTTTCCACAGGTCCCTATCATACAAAAGCTGCACCACTTTCTTCCTTATTAAGTCTGTGTTCCTTCTATACTCTAATCCCGTAAGTGTGGCACCATTCATCACCGGGACTCAATAACTTTGGAGATCTTTCTCACCCCATTATAACCAAACAATTTTGATTCAACTATCTCTAGCATTCTTACATTTGTACCTTCATAATGTTATTCCGTTCCAGTATCTACCCACCTTATAATTAATCCTTCTGAGAACGTTATACCTTTCAATAAGATCACACCTCAGTCTTCAAAATTCCAGGGATTCTAGGTCCATTCTCCTGAATCTGTCAGACAGCCATTTCATATCAAGAATCAGTCTACTAACATGCCAAACCTGCAAAATCCAGTCGTAAATGGTGGTGGACAATTAAACAACTCACTGGAAAAGGGGTGGCACAGCGGCTCCGTGATTAGCACTGCTGCCTAACAGCGCCAGGGACCCGGGTTCGATTACAGCCTCGGGCGACTTTCTGTGTGGAGTTTGCACATTCTCCCCGTGTCCGCGTGGATCTCCTCCAGGTGCTCCGGTTTCCACCCACAGTCCAAAGATGCGCAGGGTAGGTGGATTGGCCAAGCTAAATTGCCCATAGGTGGGTTAGACATGGGGAAATGCAGGGATAGGGGAGTGAGTGTGGGTGGGATGCTCTTCAGTGGGGCGGTGTGGACTTGTTGGGCCGAATGGCCGGTCTTTACACTGTAGGGATTCTATAATTCTATGATATTCCCAACCTCAATGATGGAAGGGACCAATACATCAGTACAAAAGATAAAGCTGAAGCATTCGCAGCAATCTTCAGCCAGAAGTGCCAACTGGATGATCCATCCTAGCCTCCTCCAGTGACCCGCAGCATCATAGATGCTGGTCTTAAGCCAATTCAATTCACTCCAGGCAATATCAACAAATGGTTTGAAGCACTGGATACAGCGATGATTATGGGCCTTTACAACATTCTGGCAATAATGCTGAAGACTTGTGCTCCAGAACTTGCCACTTCCCTCGCCAAGCTGTTCCAGTGCAGTTACAACACTGGCATCTGCCTGACAATGTGGAAAATTGCCCAAGTATTTCCTGTACATAAAAAGCAGGACAAATCCAACCCGATTAATTACCGTCCCATCTGTCTATTCACAATCATCAGTAAAATGACAAAGTGTCACCATTGAGCAGCACCCGCTCAGCGACGCCCAGTTTGGGTTCCACCAGGGCCACTCAACTCCTGACCTCATTATCGCCTTGGTTCACACATGGACAAAAGCGCCGAATTCCAGAGGTGAGGTGAGAGTGACAGCCTTTGACATCAAGCTGCATTGAATTGAATGTGGCATAAAGGAGCCCTTTCAAAACTGGAATCAATGGATATCAGGAGCAAACTCTCTGCTGGGTGAAATCATACCTGGCATAGGGGGAAGATGGGACAAAATCAGAAATTGCTGGAAAACCTCAGTAGGTCTGGCAGCATCTGTGAAAAAAAAAAATCAGAGTTAACGTTTTGGATCCGCTGACCATTCCTCAGAATTGGTCTGATTTTTTCCTTCACAAATGCTGCCAGACCTGCTCAGCTTTTCCAGCAATTTCTGTTTTTATTGCAGATTTACAGCATCTGTAGTTCTTTTGGGTTTTATAGAGGAAGATGGTTCTGGTTGTTGGAAGTCAGTCATCTCAGCTCCAGGACACCTCTGCAGGACTCCTCAGGGTAGTGTCCTAGGCCCAACTATCTTCAGCTGCTTCATCGACGACCTTCCCTCCATCATAAGGTCAAAAGTGGGGATGTTCACCAATGATTGCACAATGTTCAACGCCATTTGCAACTCCTCAGATACTGAGACAGTCCGTGTCAAATGCAACAAGATCTGGACTTGGGTTGACAAGTGGCAAGTAATATTCGCACTGCACAAATGCCAAGCAATGACGATCTCCAATAAGAGAATCTAACCATCACTCCTTGACAGTCAATGGTGTTACCATCATCAGAAGCCCCACTATCAACATCCTGGAGGCTATCATTGACCAGAAACTCAGCTGGACTTACCGTATAAATACAGTGGCTACAAAAACAGGTCAGAAGCTAGGAATACTGCAGAAATTAGCTCCCCTCACATAGAACTTGGCTTGAGTTCTAATGGCAGAGCTATCAAACTGCTCTTGGGATTTAACTAACTGCATCCCCACACAACATGTGCAGTCCAATTGCTTTCCCTTCAGCTAAAATTTAGCACTCCTAACAAGGTCTACTCTCTAGTCTCAACCTAGTAACCTTCAGACTCTGTATGCAACCTTTTGAACAGTGACCTGTTAAAACTCTGCAATATCCCCTCCCTTGCTGCTGGGTAGAATTGAAAGTTGCCACCTCGCAACACTTGAACTGAATATGCTCTGAGTATTGCATTTCACAAAGAATGCAAGCTTCCCTGAAACAACTGGATTCACAGGAAATAGATTTCATCACAATTTGCATTCCATTGGGTGACACTAACTTTTCAGATCTCAGCTGACAGAACACCAAAGGTGCTCAGAGACAAGTTTAAAAACAACCAGTCCTCTGTCCCACATTACTGCGCATTGACTCCTGTTGGAAAGCACAAAATTTGACTTAACTGTAACAACCATTTACCATGCTCAAGAATCCTTTTTTTGTAAAGATGAAACTACAACTGAAAGTTTCAATTTTTTATCACACACAGCAATAATATTAACTCAAAAAGGTAACATTTAATTTCAGCCACTGCTTAGCTCAACCCAATCCATTTAACTTAATGGTGTTCAAAACATTATACGGCGACTAAAGCACTTGCAATTTGTTAGTTTATTAATCTCAACTTTAAAATTAGCTTTGATATTGTTTCCAAACATATGTTATGATCATGCTCTTTGAAAAGATGTCATAATATGTATTGAACAAAAGTATACTGAAGGAAAAATGTTATACTGTTCTTGAAGATGTGCCATGGGCACTTAAACCACCTGTGTTCTCAGTGATTTAACATGGCTGAAAAACAGCATAGTTGACAATGCTAGATTCTACTACAATTTAACTCAAATTTCAACTTAGGCTATTAACTCAAACTTCAATGTAAAAGCACAACCAAAAAAGCCAAGCGAAAATATTGGGATCAAAATTATGCACCAATAGCATGTTTTAAATTGTGACTAGGAAATTGCACAGCCTTTATAGAAATAATTCACAGCTTCCCAGTATTAAAGAAGCTGACCAAACATCCTAACTTCACTGCCTTTAGTAGCCCTGGATCATGCTACAGAGCAAGTAGGACAAGAGGCATTTGGCCACCATCACCTTGGAAGAAGAGTCCAGGAGAATGAAAGATGCAGAGATTGCAATAATCAGATAGCAAGTCTATGCAGTGATTTGTTTTTACTGACCAGAGACTTGTTGCATCCCAGGAATGACAGCATAATACATCACATTTAATGAGGTTACCATCATATAATTGTCAAAAATTACACATCTTACAGATATTGAAAGAGATACACCAGGTAGACTATTCTGGACAAAAAAAAAATAGATTTTTTTAATAAAATAGCTCTTCCTTTTCCAGAATCTTCTACTGCAGAGTTTTGTGCCTCAAATCCCAAAAATCAATTGCAGAATGTGCAAGTAGCTGATTTATTTCCCAATGGTGGGGATTTGCCAACATCCAGGCCTGACTGACCAGTAAGACCAAAACACCTCCCATCTCCTTCCTGAAACCAGTGCAACCAATTTCCCATGTGACAGAGAGACCATAATCAGGTGAATGCAAGGAATTTAGAAGGAGGCGGCCATTCAGCACCCCCAGCCTGTTGTGACACTCAACAGGACTACGGTTGATCCGCAAACTAACTCCACACATTTGCCTTGTCTCCACATCCCCTTAAACCTTTGGTGAGCAAAAATGTAGCAACCTCAGATTTCAAATTAATAGTTGATCTGGCATCGATTGCCGTTACCGGAAGAGAATTCTGAAGTTCTACACTGCGATGAAGTGATTCTTGATTCACTCCTGAAAAGTTTGACTCAAATTTAAGACCAGTCCCCTAGTACCTCATTCCACAACCAACCAAAACACAATCTTCATGTTACCTTAGTCCTCTACTGCATGATTCTGTCAGTCCATTGTGTCTGTGCTGCCAAAAATGTACTACTCTACTCGTCCCACCTTGCAGCAGTAGGCGCATGGCCTTAATTGATAAAATTTTGAGTTCTCATCCACTTATTTGTTAAAAGATTGGGAGGTTTCCCTCCCTCAGGCAGTGCATTCCAGACTTCTACCACCCTCTGGTCCCCTATAAACTTCCTGCCTTTCACCTTAAAATTTGTCTCCCTGTTAATGACATAGGGGAACATCTTGTCCATGCCCCTCAATCTTGTACACCTCCCCCCTCAAAAGAAAACAAGAAGGTTCAAGGAGGCAGCTCACCACCACCTTCTCAAAGACAACAACGGGCAGGCAATTAATGTTGGCCAGCCAGCACTGCCCACATCACAAATGAATAACAAAAAAAAAAAAAAAAGAGTTAGTCCAGACTCTCTTCATGGCTGAAATGCTCCATCCCAAGCAACATCCTGATGAATCTCCTCTGCACCCTCTCCAGTACAATCATATCCTCCTTATGGTGCAATGACCAGAACTGCACACCGTACTCCAGCTGTGTCCTAACCAAAAGTCCAATACAGCTCCAAAATCCATCAACTCACTTCTCAACATTGGACCTCATCTGCCACCTATCCACCCGCTCCACCAAAATGCCCTTTTTGAGTTCCATACTGTCCTCCTCACTGTTTACAATTCATCCAAGTTGTGTCATCTGCAAACTTGGAAATAGCGCCCCGAGCACCAAGAGCCAGATCATTAATATATATCAGGAAATGCCAGGGTCTGTGGGGAAATCCACCATAAATCTTCTTCCAGCCCAGAAAATATCCATTTTGATTTGGCATATTGTTGTCACATGTCCCCAAGTACAGTGAAAAGCTTTATTTTGCGAGCAGTACAGGCAGATCACAGCAAACAAGGACATACAGATCAAAGGGTGCTTAGACAGAATGATGCATACAAGGGTACAGCTGCACTGGAGGTGCACAAAGCAAGATCAACATTAGCAAGATCAGCATTATTTGGAGTTAGAGAGGTCCATTCAGCAGTCTAATAACAGCAGGGAAGAAGCTGTTCTTGAACCAATTAGCATATGTGTTCAAGCTTCAGTATCTTCTGTGACCATTGATCAGTGACCATTTCTCTGTTTCCCATCACTCAGCTAATTTTGTACCCATATTGCCACTGTCCTTTATTAAACCATGATCTGCAACTTTCTTCACAAGTCTATTGTGAAGCAATGTGTTAAAAGCCTTGTGTTTATCAGGACAAACACAAGCAAACCAAATTTCGAACAATGACAACAATCTACTCAATGGGAAAGAAGTGTTGACTGCTTGACAAGTTGTCAGATTGACCAAGGGCATTGCACTTGAGAAAGCAACAGTGAATTACAACTTCCCCAAACTCCAAGGCATTTCAATAAAAGGAGGGTTTGGACATATTCCTCTTGTTAGCGGAGTATAGTTCTGGGAAGAACTAAATCACATTTTAAATTTGAAGGTTTTAAATCACACATGCTCAGCATGCTCAATTGCAAAGCCCCAGAGTTGTGGAGAAAACTATTAGCCCTAACTCAACAACTAACCCCATATACAGTCTCAACTCAGCAGCTGCCCCTACCCTCCCCCAAGCCCTCTGTCATACTGATACTCTGACTTCAGTAAATATAAGAGGATTTGAGTTAACTAGATATCTAGGACTTTTATCAGCTAGTGAACAACAATGAACATAGAGATAGAATTTGATTGCTCAGTTTTCTGTGGAATTACTCATTCCTTCCTGGTTCTTTTAGAAGTATTCTTTATGGGTATACAATGTATATAATTTTTAAAAGGAAAGCTTGCAGAGAAGTCTGATAATCAGCAGGTGCTGCAAGAATCCTTTCACTGCACCAAATTCTGACCCATTCCACTGTCACAATCACAAATTTTTAGTGTCTGTTCTATTAAATTGTATAAGTATCATAAGTTGTTTCCATAGTTTACTCTGCATGTGGAGAAAATTAAGGATTTATAAACTACTGCCAATCGACAAAGAAAACTTTGCAACAGAAATTGCTTTAACTGCCTTCAATGTGCCCAAGGGCACCAAAACCCAACAAGTTTCAGAATGTACTGACAAGAATACTCTGATTGGGAGTTTAAACAATCATTGTAACATACGTTATCATCACGGGAGCACATACATTGCCTACAAATCAATTGTTTCCCAGTAAATAACCTTCCAAATATCATACTTTTGCAGATAAAGCTCAAAATAAAGCACTTACCATCATCATCCTCTCATCCTCCACTTCCTGCAGCAGCCCTGCAAATTCCTTGAAAGATTCAGCTGGAAGAGATAGAATCATACAAATTTACAGTACAGAAGGAAGCCATTCAACCCATCGTGTCCATACCAGCTCCCAAAAGAACTACTCAGCTAGTCCCATTCTCCAGCCCTATCTCCATAGCCCTCTAACTTCATCAAATATATATCTAGCTCTCTTTTGAAACTCCAATTGAATCCGGCTCCACCACTCTCCCAGGCAGCGCATTTAAAATCCTAACAGCTGAGTATAGAAGGTTCTCTTCATCTCACTCCTAGCTCTGTTGCTGAACAATTTTGAAATTGTGACCCATATGGATGGGAACATTAACCATAAGAATCAATCCTCAGCAGGTGTCTGAATGAAAATACAGTACAGCTATCCCTAGTCTGACTGATTCATCCCTAAGTATTATGCTAAACAGCCATCACATTGAAATGAAATATCAGAGTGAATTAAGTTTCTGACCTGTAACTTTAACATTCAAAAAATGTTGTCGTGGACTGAACAGGCCCAAACGTCATTTTTGTAATTCTTCCACTGACTCTTATAAGGTTTACCCAGCTCATCGAGTGCCTGCCTCCCTCCCACAACCCCGCACACTTTCCCCAATACTCCTATCAATTAATGGAGGGACATACCAAGGCAGCAAGAAGCAGGGTCAAGGGATGGAGGGGTGAGACGAAGAGTTGTTTGTTTTCCCCCAAAAGAGACTGTTTCCTCAGTAATTCCATTGTACTGGAAAATCAGCAACTCCCTATCCGAGGAGCAAAACCAGAACTTGCTGGAAAATCTCAGCAGCTCTGATAGCATCTGTGGGGAGAAATCAGAGTTAGCGTTTTGGGTCCAGTGACCTTTCTTCAGAACGGAAGCTGTTCCAGAATAGAACATTCACTCTGATTTCTCTCCACAGATACTGGCAGAACTGCTCGAATTTTCCAGCCATCTGTTTTTGTTTCTGATTTACAGGTCTTTTGTTTTTTCACTTTTGAGGAACATTACTAGTTTTACAACAATGCCAAAACAAACAAACAAACAAACACTTAGAATATGGATAGGAAGGCCAACACCATTTCCTCATTCTCAGTCATGGATAGAGTCACATACTTCAAAAGACCAGCTGGAGGTTTTTAGTCTCCCCGAAGAAAGCAGTTTCACATCAACAGATTATAGGATGAGGAAGCACAAAGGCTAAGAAAAAACTTTCAGACCCCTGATTTTATAGAGTATTCACCAATTGAGTGTCTTTAGGCAAGAGGCATAGTAAGGTGCATAGTTTTAAAATCATGTATTGTCATCTTTAGGAGAAGGACGCTTGTACATAGTTTCAATGCAGTTCCAAGGGGGCACAAGCACACAACAGAAAAGCTTAGTGAGATTCAGTCACGTCACTGAGATATGCCCAAGGGAGGTAGGTGTGAGGAGAATGTCCCCACACATAGAATCTCTCATGAACAGCTAGAGAAAGCATCTGCTGTCTGTGCACAGCAGAAACATATGCTGAACATTGTTGATAGCAGTACTAAGTTCTGTGGCAAACACTTACAAACAGCCTTGCTTTCTAGTTTGAAAGATGCTGAACATTCTCTTATGACAAAAAGGAAGGGAGCACACTTACTGGCTGGGTGAGAAAGACCAGGAGCTCAGCAAGATCTGAGCTCAGGTTTTTAAAAGCCAATCATTCTGTTTCATTATGCACGAATCCAAACACAGCATCAGGGAAATATTAGAAACTTTTGTTTGCACACAACAGTTTTTGTCACCACAGATTGCCTCACCAGGATCAGTATCTTTACCCAGTAAAACACCCGAGAACCAGCACAGTCCAGAGATAGGTGCTTTAATCCGCATGTCCACCCATGCAACTTCACTGACTCCCACGTCCCCTGCCGCACCTAAGACCATCTCAAATTAACCTCATTTTCTCTCAGGGATTTCAATCTCCTTCTCAACACTTCAGCTCAATTATTAACTCAGCTGCAGACAAGCCTGTTGCCACATGGAGGCATACATGAGGGCTGTCGTTGGTCTCCAGTGGGCCGCGGGTGTCCACCATTCAAAAAGCCAGATGGGCTAAGCATCAAGGAAGGGGAGTGACCCAGTGAGAGCCACCTCCAACACCTTGCTGCTGATAACCTTTTCTTCCCATCCCCACTGCAGCAACTCACTCTGGCCTGGGTCACCACTTAATCCTGGGTCTTCTGTAGCTGTTGTATCCACAACAGCCAGAGCCTCCCCAGTGGCGCTAGTGAGCAGAAATGATCCAAGTGGTCGGCGGCTCTCAGGAATTTCTGACCACTTGATTTTCAGGTGGCAATCTGAGGGAGCTGCCTTCCTGGAGATGGCAACATGCATCTCATACTGGTCTTCCAACCAGCAGGGGAAAGCCCCATCCCCAAGCAAAGCAGTCACGCTCTGGAGAATCAAAATTACAGATTCAACAAAACACAACCCTGATTGTCTCATTGCCACTCTCACTATCTAAAGTTAGTTCAAGTTGGTGGGGGAGGTGGCGACAGATGAGAATTATGCTGTGACCTTGCTGTTGGTCAACATTTGTTCAAATTTCATTCATAATCACCTTTGGAAACAAAGCAGTCTCAAGGAGGATGCAAAACTATTTTCTTAAAGTGCTGATGCACATTGTTTTAATCAGCTTCACTATCTCACAATTGGGCTCAATGTCAGAAAACTGCAGTGGCCAGCTGCTACAAAATGTGTTGCTTGCAAAAACATCATAATATAAATACAGAATGCCCAAGGTCTCAAGCTGAATATATAAAAAAACAATCTGTTTAAAACAATTCAGAGGGGGAGGAAAAATACAAGTCAACTAGAACCACACAAGACTGAGGGCCAGAAGAGATTTACTGTCAAGTGAAGATTACAGGGATACAAGTTCAGTACAAGAACAAAAATATTGATAAAAGAACAATTAGGAACCAGAGTGGATATTAGAGCATTCTGTAATCACAGGCAAGTTTTCCCTGGAGGATAGTCGGCCACAGTTGATTGTATGAAGATTCGAAAATTTAAATTGGTTAATTGGAGGAAGGAACAGGTAATGTCCCCTGTGGAAACTGCCTTTACAAGCTTTGATGAAATTGTTGCTAAATCTACTCCTTCTACAATCACATATCTAATGGATGGTCAGGTCTGTAGGAATAGAGTAGGGCAGTGAAATACAACCAAAAAAGGGGCAAAAACAAGTTGAATGGACCACTGGGCAAGTTTCGTATTTTATTGTTGATTTTTTTCTTGCTGCAAGTTTTATTATGTTAATTTATCAATAACCGCCTTCTCAAACAAAATGTTTTCAAGTGACTATCAATAGTAAGATCTTGGATTTTTATTTAAATGCATGTGTCTTGTTAAATGTAGGCCAATATCAATGGTAATAACAGCAATTCCTGTAGATTGGATGCAATAAAGGAGGCTATTTAATGCAATGAATCCATACTACTACTTGTGAAGTGATCAAATCAGCCTCATTCTTCTCCTCAAACCTCGCAGCCCTTCAAGTTTACTTCACTCAAGTACTCAGCATGGTTTTTGTTAATCCATCCTCTTGACCTGGCCACTGCTAACCACATCAGACTTTGTTATGCAGCCTAAGTGCCACAAGGTGGCAGAGGACTTTTCTGAAGCACCACACTACACACAAAATAGGAACAGTTATAGACCGTTTGGCCCCTCGAGCCTGCTCCACATTGTGGAAGTATTCCTACTGTTAAATGCCAAGATTGTGAAGCAGCAAATGACAAGCTAACAACAACAACAAAATGCACAACTCAGGTCAATGGAGGGAATGTAAGAGGTGGCACTGTTCTCATGTCTTTTTAGATTAACCGCTTTGTCCTGGACAATATCAAGCCCCTTACATTGTTGAAGCTACAATCATCCAGACTGATGCACAATACACCCTTGACTTAAGTCTTGTGGGTGCCTTGAGGAATTGGTAAGAAATGATCTGGAGTATCACGAATAGTTGATGGGCAGTCTTTTGTTGGAGATGGTGAATAACATTTGGGCCAGGTAATCATCACACCAAGCCTGAATGTTGTAAACAAGCTTGGACACCTTCAAGTACTTTGTTTTAGAATTCCTTAAAATAAAACTATGCAATAATTACGAAAACAGCTTTCAACAACTACTGATCTCTCAAAAGCACATTTTGTTATTGAAGTCCTATCGGGTACAACATGAGTTTTCTTTAAATTGCATTGACTTCAGTTTTGCTTGAGCTGTATCATCATCGATGTTGTATCATAGAATCCCTACAGTGTGGAAACAGGCCCTTTGGCCCAACAAGTCCACACTGACCCTTGCAGCATCCCACCCAGATCCATCCCCCTATAACCCACACACCCCTGAACACTATGGGCAATTTAGCATAGCCAATCCACCTAGCCTGCACATCTTTGGACTGAGGGAGGAAACTGGAGCACCCGGAGGAAACCCACGCAGACATGGGGAGAATGTGCAAACTCCACACAGACATTCACCCAAGGCTGAAATCGAACCTGGGTCCCCGGCACTGTGAGGCTGCAGTGCTAACCACTGAGCCACCGTGCCGCCCTAGCTATGTGGTGCTAGTAAAGACTACTTTGATATCAGATAGTTGGTTACCCTAAACAAAAGCAGAAATTTCAGAAGAAACTCAGGTCTGGCTGCATTTTTGGAGAGAAAGCAAGTTAACATTAACTCTGCTTTGTCTGCACAGATGCTGCCTGACCTGTGTTTCTCCAGCAATGTTTTATATTTCCATCTTCTGCAGTCCTTCGTTTTATTCTGTTTTAGTGAATTACCTTATAAGTAGGAATTCAGCTGTGCGCGCGTATCTGCACCAAGTTTACAACATCATCTGGAACCGGGACGTGGAACAGAACATTGATAAGCAGGTTAGTGTTCAGTAAAGTTATTTATGAGTATTGTTAATGATGACTAGGAGTAGCTGATAGGAAATAGGTGGAAAAGTTAGTTGCGAGGGGGATCCAGTTTATAGAGAGATATTAATAGGTTA